TTTGTTTAAAAAAATATATATTTTAGTTATTATTAGGGTTTTAGGGTTTAGAGGCTGTGTGAGCGGCATTCTCTGAATATAATATTTAAATAATCAACATCAGCAGAGGTGAAGTAGGGTTGGAGAAAATTTCAGTTCTAAGTTGTTGTCTGATTTGCTATATCTATGTAAATACTTCAAGGTATCTGGGTTGTGCCCAGTCGAATGCAATGTGCTGTTTGGCGCCGACACCTTCTGCATAAGCATTGAGCGGCAGGACAGTGTCATCGTATATCATACAACACATCTATAATCTGGTGCCTTAGATACAACCAATTTAGTGGACATGACGGATGCACGCAGTGAGAAGCAGAAGATGCTGGATGGCGACCTCTACATCGCATTCACTGAGGAACTGACAAATGATAGGCAAACCGCTAAGGCAATCTGCTGGGAAATCAATCAAATGCATCCCAGTAAGACAGGCGAGCGCAATGCACTGGTGGAGAAACTATTCCAACAGAAGCTAGACAATGTGCGGCTTGAGCCGCCCTTCTACTGTGACTACGGCTATAACATCAGTGTAGGCAAGAACTTCTATATGAATCATGGGTGTTGCATCCTGGACTGTAACTTAGTGACATTTGGCGATGATGTGCTGTTTGGGCCTGGTTGCCAAGTAACTACGGCCACCCACCCTACAGACGCTGAGGCACGGGCCAGAGGGGATGAGTATGCCAAGCCCATTACTGTGGGAGACAAGTGCTGGTTCGGGGCAAACGTGACTGTATGTCCGGGTGTAACCATAGGCGATAATGTGGTGGTGGGTGCAGGTGCAGTTGTGACTAAGGACTTGCCCAGCAATACGGTTTGCACTGGGGTGCCTGCCAAAGTGATCAAACATATTACTACAGAGCAGTAGATTGGATAAATTTGAAGGATAGGTGAACTAAGTTTTAGACATCTCTGAAGCGCAGGAGAACTAAATCTAGGACATCTCTGAAGCGCAGGCGAACTAAGTTTAGGACATCTCTGAAGCGCAGCAGAGCTAAGTTTAGGACATACATCTCTGAATGGCAGGAGAATTAGGTTTAGGAGATCATTAGCAAAGTTGTAGTACAATGTACCGTAGAATATGGATCGATAAATCCATCAGTTCTACATTCAAAGTTCACGGCGAACCTATAAGGGTTCTAAAATATTCATCTCTAGGTTTTCAACTAATATATCGATGCATATATTCCTATGCACATACAAACACACACACACACGCACACACACACACACAAACACGC